AAACAGGCAGAATGATAACCAGTTATCTAATAGTTACGCTAACGAACACTCGTCTGTAAGGTCGGTTTCAAATATGGCAGTACCCACAGTAGCCTTCTGATAAATCACAGGTGTACGAAGTTATATCTATATTAAATGATGAGAAAACTGTTGAAGTAGATTTTTCAGTATGAAACACACAGTTGTGAAGTAAAACGCCACAAAATAAAACACCACCACAGAGAATGAAAGTGATCTGAAATGAAATACAGTCAATTTGTTGAATGGAGTAGTTTAGGGAAGTAAACACTCGATTTGTTTGAAAGAAATACAAATAGATGGTCTGCAAATAGAATAGATCATATGTATACCTATAAAAAACCAACCAACAACCGATTGCTCAATGAATATGTAAGAAAAAGTGGAGATGGATCGAGAACACGTTGAGGAGGCCGTCGAATGATAACGCGCATTAACCAGGCCATAGCTGCAGTGGAATCCGAATGGGTAGGGACGAATGGGTCGTCTGTACGGGTTGATATGCAGGAGATCATGTGAGGAGGAGATGAGAGATTACGGGTAATCGTGAACCCGGCTGAAGAGGACAGCAGAAAAAGGATGAAGTGGAGATGTGTTGTTGAAGCCCTATGTTCAACTCGGAACCCATTGGAATAGTAATAATATACATACCAATAAGATTTATAAACATGTTAACCATTTATAGCCAGTTCTAAGTGATGTGAGTAAAATGTAATCCAAGTGACAAATATCCTGTTTTTAGCAGGAAACAAGGATTCATTGCCTGTCATTAGACAAATAATATATCCTTTTAAGATAAGAAATTATTTTCACAAGGAATATTCGCAAAGGAATTACAAGTGTTTGAAGCCTGTGGAAATGGCCCCAAGCTTTTCATGAAGAAGATAACACAAATTTCTCATTTAAATCAAAATGATAAGAATCATATGAATGAAGACAAAAAAATACCAGTAATAACTATCAATGGAGTAGTAATAATAAGTACTAATGTGACAAAACGAGAAGTTGGCGGTCTTTATATCAGCCTATAGTCAGAATACACATCTTCCAGATCAGCTGTTTACTTCAGGATTTGGACTATAAACTGGGTATAATCTCAGAGTTTCTGGGTAACTGTTATTCTAAAGTTCATTTATAGGTTCAAGTAGATAGTTAGCATTGAACGATGACACAGAAACTGGCTTCATTAGATCAGTAATCATATTTTTTGATCTTCCACAGAATCATGGTGACGCGGATTTCATTGCTTCCTAACAATACCGTGAACAATGCGTTTCTCGCTACAGTCTTTTATCCACTAAAACACAAGTGCTTCACGCAGATGGATAGCAGCGACTGAAGTCCCACGGAATCTAAGTTTTCTTAAATTGTTGCACAAAATTAGTCGTCTGTAGGGAATTTATAGATGAAGTGAAAGATTAAACGTATTATCAGTATGTAACACTTGACTGCGCTTACAAAACTTGTACTTTAATATTCACTTGGTCAGCAGCTTACCTAGTTTGTGAGTACTGATAACGAAACAAAAACTGTTAGACGGAACTATTCAGAGGTATGCTCATGTGAGTAGTATATTTAGGCAAAATAGAGGTTAGGGTGATTTTGAGAAAAAGCTAGTAATGGCTGAGGTAGGGTTTATGAGACTGTGAATATGTACCAGAATAAAGGAAGCGTAAAATGGTAATGGAGACTAGTCGGATGCTTACTCACTAAAACAAAATGTAAACTACACGAAACACTCAGACGAGGACCTAGTCAATTCATTTCAGTATAATTAGTTTAGCTTCGCCAGTATGGTACCCTATGTATTTTATGAAAAGCTGCTGTTTAGCTCTGTGTATTAATCCCACAACACAATCCTTGTCTATCTTTTTGTTAGAACAGAATTCCAAGATAATAAAATAGACCTTATGGTCTAGTTCACATGCATCATCACCATTAAAATTGGTTTTAGCTGCTCATGAAATTTTCCCACTATTCTATTTGGTATGCGATGATATGCTGTAGTTCAAATGTGCTTAAGTCTGAGCATATACGTTGATTATTGAAATAAAAAGTTTTCAGACTATCCACTTGTGCTGTATTCTTGATAGGACAAGCTCTAAAGGCGAGTGTCCAAAGGTGGCTAATACAGCTTGTCCTGATGTCAGAAAATACATCTGTTGAAGATACAGCTATCGGTTAGCCATTAAAGCAGACTAAATATCTTAAAATGCAAATAAAACCTATGGATTGGTTACAGGATTTCATCATGAGCTGACATTGGTCAGAGAACCATTGGAAAACCTGAAGGGAGTACTGGACAACTGTTTCGTCCTAGTTTGAGACTCTTCATCAGTACGCACCCACACCACGAGGTTCGAACCCAGGACCTTCTGGTTACATGGCGAGCCAGCTCGTAGACCATTCATCAGCCACTGGGACCCGATCAAATGGCCCATGAATTCTAACCTCTGCCAATTCACAACATAGCGGAACCGCTAGCCAATGTCTTCGGCGAGTATTTGTCCTCACACCTGACCAGTGGGGTGCAGCAGGTCGCATAACAAGAACACAGTAGAACTGCAATATGTATTCAACTTATTACCCGAGGACCTCACATTTTCGGGCAAACTCTTTCTTATGCATATGGTACCTATGTATTGTATAAATACAAACATAATTCTTAAATGATATTGCATATATAACTAATAATATTTACACTATATTTTTGCCTTATTTATACCATAACTTGCAAACAAAAGAAAGTAAATTCAATCAGAATTTTTTTCATGCAAAGATTCACGGAAAATGAATGTTGATTTGAAATAAATCGAAGTAAAAGGTAGAGTACTGCACGTTAAAGATGGAAAGAAAAGTTTAAATACTGTCAGTATCATAATTAGCAGCCGCTGGAAATAAAACTGACCATTTAGCCTGAGATATATGCTACTGACTGACTGGCAGAAGCTGTTGGAAACTATTCACACCACCTAGGGGTGTTCATTCACAAGACTGGTGCGACTTACATATTAACGCTCAATCAGCTATGTATATTTCCAGCAGTCAGCTAAGTATTATTCCAGTAATCAAGTATTGGTTTTCGTAGGAATTTTGCTTGTTTGGTTGAAGGATTTCATAATGAGAGAACCATTGAAAAAAACCACCAGGGAGTACTGGACAGCTTTTTCGTCTTAGCTGGAGACTCTTCATCAGTACTCAATCACTAAGGTTCGAACCCAAGACCTCCTGGTTACAAGGCTAGCTAGCTCGTAGACCATTAAGCCACTGGGACCCGATCCAATGACCAGTCCATGAATTCTAACTTCTGCCTATTCACGACATAGCGCGATCACTAGCCAAGGTCTTCGGCGAATATTTGTCCTCACACCCGGCTTGCTGCACCCTACTGGTTACTGAAAATAAGTAGTAAGTGCATAACTGATGAAAATAACAAATAACACTTCACAGACTGTTTGTTGAAATTCCCATTTTGAGGTTCCCATGACTGATCTAATTGAATCCAAATGCTTGTTCTCAGTTAATGTAGCTAATAGAAAGGAGACTTCGACGATGTTTTGTGGTCAATACGATATCATTTCGTTGATGAACTGTAGTGTATTCTTGAAAGCCGGTTTCCTCTTATTTGGTACTCAATAAATGAATGTACCTGTACCTGCTTCGACGTTTAAAAATGAGAACATTGGGTTCGAATCTCAAATGGAGCATCAGTACACAATGAGAAATCTGTACATCCAGCTGATGCGCCCGTCACTACCTACACTAAAAATAAGAAAAATTAAAAAGGATGGTTAAAGTGAAGAAAATTTTCTCTTCGACGAAGTCATCAACCAAGCTGTACAGTCAGGTATATACGATAAGTAGGTGAGAAAGTCCCATAACTGCTTCATCCCAGTGGTCAAATCAACAAGATTGCAAAGAGGGATTAAAAACTTAGCAATAAAGAAACAGACAGGAAGATCAGATAAGAAACATGTAGTGCAAAAAGGGACTAAAATACCTGAAATCACAGAAAAAAACCTAACAGGATAATTACTGTTGAGAGAATTGACTGTTTTTATGATAGCTGTAGTAAAGACAAAAGTTGAACGTATTTCTTTTGAATACATAGCGTTGGTTTAAACTTTTGAATCACTGGTGCCGAAGAATTCACATTCATAGACAAGAACCTAAAACCAAAAAAAGCTTCTGAATAAGTCCAGGCAGTCCCAAAACAGACGCCTCTGCTTGATCTCGAAATTAGGAGTGTCACTGACGAAGGAATTCCCCGTAAATGGCTTTCAAAATCTATCAGTAAAACATACTTTACTGCCAGTCTACGGGCAACATTCGGCTAGCATGTGAAAGGCAAGTTGTTGCATTGGGCCACTTCAAAATACATATACCAGTTCACTTCCTCTTGCGGAGCTGATTACATTGTTCATACTATGTTTTTTTATTCCTTCACGTTCCCAGTAAATCAAAAGGCCTCAAGCTAGAGGCCTGAAGTTTCGCTGGCAGTGGTGTCTATTTTATTTTAGCCTTATGCCCAACCTTCCCTCTTGACCAATCCTATTACTGGCTTGGCGGGGTAAAGAAGTGCGTCGGCTTGGGATCAAACCCCGGACCACATGCGTGGCTGGTGAGCATTCTACTGCTATGCCACCGACGCACTGTATTATATATATATATATATATATATATATATATATATATACTTCAATAAAAGAAAAGACATCTGACAGTGTTTTGCTTTCCACAGTGATCAGAAGTAACGGATAAGTGCACTTGAAGAAAATACCGATGTTAAATTGCAGGTTACAACTTCCCTTATAGTAAAATCTACACTGAGGTTAGCGAATATATATGCCTCATTATTACCATGATGGAGAAAAAACCTTTCAGTGTTCTTATAGCTCAAATATGTCGATAAAAGTCATTGCAATCATAGTTTTGGTTTTTTGTTTTTTCAAAATTTACTTTGTATGCATTTCTAAACAAATAATACTGAGTATTCAATCACTGTATGCTTTCATTTTATGTAAATTTACATAAACAGCCAAAGCCAAAATGACTAGAATAAATTCACTTTCATGCTGAACTAACCGGTCGTTGGTGGAATATAAACTTATAACAAGTAAGTCAATGCTATTTCTTGTATACTTTTAGTTACTATCATAAAAAAGTTTAACTGACTTAGTTTCAAAGTAGGTCTTTGCATAAAAGTGCAACAGTTCAGCTTGCCACAGTTCATGAAGCACATAAAGAAAGATGAAGAGAGAGATATTTGAAAGAACGACAATAAGCAAAACTGTGAGGGATAAAGAATATTGAATGGAATAGAATTAAGGTTTGATTGCAAAGGGTGAATTCATTTGGGTCACTGAGAACTATCATGAGTTACCTCACCAATAATTTGCAGCTATTGGTTCTTAGAATCATGAGGACCCCAAATAGACAGTCCGCACCTCCCTATGTGGCTAAAACTAACTGTCAAAGATTTCATGGACTGATCCCAAATTTTGGCTTGACTATCAATAACTGTTTTCCAACCTGCTCTAATATCAGCCAATATTGCCCGTAGAGGAAAGCAATAACTAGACATGCTCAATACACGTCCTGGGGGCGTCTTAATCGATTCACCTTCACAGCCATATCAACTGACTTGCTCTCACTATTTACTACTCAACGCCTAACGTAAATGTTACATTTACTATCTAAGACAGAAGGTAGAACAGAGACACTTATGATCAAAGACAGCTAACCGTTTCATATCTTCCACTTTCACTGCCTGTGTCTCACATCCATGAAAGAGGATGGAGCTAAGTGTTATGTAGTACAAATGTCCTTTGATCGGTGGCCAGATATTATGTCTATGCTGCAGATGATGTAAGGTGGCAAATCCCACATAAAACCTTTATATCTGTGCTGAGATTTCATCAGTACAAAAAGGTAAATAACTGCTAAATCTTGGCGCTTTTTTAGTTATGCACTGGTAGAGACCAATTTTGCACTAGTTGAAGAAAATGCAAAGATGGTAGAGTACAGTTGTGCATGTTTTTCTTCGAATATATGCTTCATTACTTACGATAGATCGATGAATATCGTTTGTTAATGGTCGACTTAAACGGAAAACTCCTCACAATGGCTGGTACTTTTCAGTAAGTGAAGCTTATGTGCAACCTTGGGCAGATAAGTAATTCTTCAGACATTCAAATTTGTATCATTTAGTCTCAAAGCCAGACTTTATCACCGATCTACATAGGTCACCATTATTGCATTGTGTAACTTGATTATTCATGTGAGTCAATTATGGCAGCAGCCAGTTTAAACACTTTACTGATAAGCCCCAATCGGTACTTATTGGCTGGATAGATATAATGATCACCAACCATAGCTGTTTTTGTATGAATTAGTGTAAATTTGTATAACGTGTCTGAAATTGGTTCAGTAAGTATACATGGAAGTAAAAATAGTAAGACTGTACATTAGTAAGTAACCAGATAACATTTTTATTTGACTGCAATTATTCCTTCTTTCTCTCTAAGTGATGAAAAATCAAGTTGAATAAGGAGTTGCCGTTTAAAAAAGAAAGGAAAATGCTAGAAGAGAATGATAAAGATCCTTTAATTGGACACTAGTAACTAGTGTGATGAGTCTAGTCCTATCTGTGGTGCAGACTGATTCCCTCAGTTAGGTTTGTAATGTGGCCACCATTCTAAGTAGCTCACTATCACGGTTCACATTGATCTGATGATATTAGATGGTTGAAGGAAACTGACAAGAAGCCTTGCCTGACCTATGTTGCGTAATATTTGACACTGTCCACTCAGCAAGGCGTATCTACAACATTGAAGGAACTCATGTTCCTTCTTAAATTCATAGCCGTGTCACCCATTGCTACAAAGACGTTACCACTGAACTATTCGGGTTCACAATTGATCTCCTGTAGGAGTGTATTGGATACTTGATTGAACACTAGTAGCTAGTGCGGGTTCGCACCAAAGAAAGGACTAGATACATCACACTAGTTACTAGTGTCCAATATATCCCTACAGGAGGTCAATCACGAGTCCGAATAGCTCAGTGGTAACGTCTCTGAATGCAGCAATGGGTGACGCGGCTTTGAATCTCAGAAGGGGCATGGGTTCCCTCGAGGTTGTAGATACACCTTGCTGAGTAGTGAGTGTCAACTAGCACGAAACCTAGGTCGATTCCTGCCGATCGCCTCCAACCATCTAATATCATAACATAGATAAATTTTATATCTCTTCAGCTGTAGCATTTAATGTACAGAGTTATAAAACAGTTTACCACACTTTTGTAAATCGATAGCAATCAAACTTCCTCCATTATTGACAAAATGATTCCTATTGATAAACAAAAGCTGTATTAAAATTGTATCATACCTCGTCACATGAATCGCCATAGGTTTTACGCAGCTGAGGAAAACCATTAAGTAAAACTGTTGCATGTTATTCTGTTCCAATGTTTTTTATTTCTCTTGTCAAATTTATAAGTGAGAAATCTGTGTGTAATCTACTACTGTCAGCTTATTTTAGATAACTTTTATGCGCATAGGTACAAAAATATTCTGAACCTCTTGTGATATCTTTCTGCTTAAGCTAGCGTACTTGACTGTCAGTTCAAATCCGTTTTTAAATTTCGCACAAATTGACTATGCCGGGTAGTTTCTAAATCAACAATTGTTATTATGGTATCCAAATAATCATAGTTTTAAATCTTACATCGATCATCAAATACCTTCTCTAACTGTTGTATGCTTGAAGATACAGTTATTACATGAATAGAACTTCGAAACTGTACTGCAATCTAATTGCATATTAATTCGCTTGTTAGGTGTATCCCATCACTAGACAATACTACTTACTCGAAAAACATTTTGGATATATTGTATTTTTAAAAAACATATCAAATGTAATAATCCCTCATTTGTCTGAATATCCTGAAAAGGTGTTGAATCATTTATAGTGCATTAATGACTTGTCGATTTAGTAAAAAAAGCCTCTGTGACGAATCTGTCCTTAGATTTTACTAGGTTAGAAAGCCGTCAAATGTTATAGCTGTTCTTTTTCCTAGATTACTTTGATCTTAATAGTACTTACCAAACCAAATTATGTCAGATTTCGGTGCTTGGGGCCTGCAAAAGTCTAGGAATCAAAGATTTATTACAGGTTTGATCAACAGCTGACATCAGTTAGAGAACCATTGGAAAACCACCTTGGAGTACTAGAAAGCTGCCACGCCCTGTCTTGGAACTTTTCAGCAGTACGTACACACTGGGTTTCGAACTCATCACCTTCCGGTCAGGGGACCAGCTCTTAGACAATTCAGCCACTCAGATCTGGACCAACAGTCAGCCATGAATTCCAACTTCTGCCAATTCGTGACATATGTAGTGCGACTGCCAGCTGATATCATAGGCGAGTGACTTATCTCTTATCTAACTTGGTGAACCCTACTGGTTACTAATTCTTAGTAGAACGCCAGGTAACCTCCTGTATACAGTCAGTCACTAGTGAGCATCAGATTAATTACCAAGTGTTGGTTTACAGACATTTGATTCAGTCTACGTAATATGATGAAATGAGTCTGAGGTTCAGTACATAGTTTAATGTGGTAGACTGACATCACTCAGACACTACCAGTGTACAAAATCTACACCAAGTAACATTAAACAAAGTTGAGTTTGCATATTAAAATTTGTATATCATCTGTAATATAAAAATAAAAGTACCAACGATGTTAAAAATATGCATCATAGACAGACATATCTACATAAACTACCTTTATATCTGTTAAACATAAATAAAGTAAGTATTTAAGACAAGGAAAGTAGTTCATTAATAATGGGCTTAAAGTTTTCAGTTACTGTTAATATTTAAAGTTATATGATGTTGTTGTATTTCAGTCCAAGGACTAACTGTCAACATCCCTGCTCTTCACAAGGTCTTAGTGTACTGTTAAAGAAGAACTCCACAGTGGGATAAAGCAAATGTCTATTGTTTCTCAATTTCCAATGATACTGTGGTCAGAATAACTTTGTAACTAGATCTATGCTGAAACGATACAACTAGTTATTAGTATTTGCAAATCAGGATTATGTAGAATGTAAGCACGAAAATAAGAAAACATTATATTATGTAACTCCAAGCTATTTTCACCCACTTGACCTAGCACAGTATCGGATGATGACGTTTCGAGAATAACGCACCAAAACTGGCTGACATATCCACACTAGTTATTCGGAAAGTTCTACCACCAATGGAAAAATTGGCAGAAGAGACTAAAACAACGATGAAACAAATTTCCTTATGGTTACGAACAAAAGTCGTTATTGGAAAATCATCCATTAAACAAAAATACTATATATATACAAATAAGTAAACCATCTGTGAATATTTAACGCTACCCTAAATACATCTGAAATATGATGAATTTGAACAGTTCATTCTATTCAGTTTACCTTAAGTAGCTACAATCTGAGTCACTACGTTTATTCAGTAATATCACTAAGTGGGTTATCAATGGAATCAATGGGCTACCAAAATCGCTTTCTGCTAAAATGCTTAATTTCATCAGGATTTTTCACTGTTTTAATCATGCAGTTATATCTTATGACCTTTACATGAACTTGCGGGCTGATTTAACTTGATTCTAAGTAAAAGCTGTGCTGTTCTTCCACGAAATGAAGATATACTTTAGATTACTTTAGTAGTATTTCGGAGTTAAATATACTGAAAATTATTATTTATTATTATTATATCTTTTAGTTCCTAGAGGAACATAGGGCTTCAGCTGCGCACCTCCATTTCCTTCTGTTTTCTGCCAACTTTTTCACTCCGCTCCAAGTCTGCCCACATGCTTTCATCTCCTCCTCGCATGACCTCCTCCAAGTCACCCTTGGACGACCAACTCGCCGTTTCCCTTTCGGGTTCCACTCGAGCGATGGATTGTCTAGTGATGTCGCTTGATGGTTTCCTCAAGGTGTGGCCAGTCCATCTCCATTTCTTCCTGCCTATTTGTTTCACAATCGGTTCCTGCTGTGTTGGTTCGCTCCCAGAGATCTTTGTTGCTGATCTTTTCTGGCCGGCCATCTGATCTTGAGTACTGAGCGAAGACAACTGTTGATGAAGGTCTGTAGTTTGTTTGAGATGCTTCTTATGACTCGCCATATGTTCTCATATTATCAGAAATAAAGCTTTATTATTATTTCTCAGCAGTTGGTTTACAAGGATTTGATTGGTTTTCACGAGTTTGACTACGGGGATTGATGTCAGTTAGAGAACCAGTGAACACAATTAGGGAGTACTTGACAGCTGTTTCATCCTAGTTTGGGAATCATCGGTAGTACGCACCCACTGAGGTTCGACCCCTATTTAGAGTTAGGTATTGAAGATTTCAGTAAAATTCAAGTGTAAATTTATGCCAAAAATCCTTTTAAATATAAACCGATTCAATAATGCAACACAGTGTGGTGGTGTGATACAGACAATGAGTTCCAACGGAATATTATTCTCACAGTAGGAATCATTGTATCTGTTGGAGTTAACGTCAGAATACTATTGTAATGACAGAAGGCAAGAGTCAGGCAACAGATCGTTTATTTAGGAAATCAACACATATTTATAGATTCTCATGTACATATTATAGATTATTGTTAGCAGAAAAACACAGCCATCTGATTGGTTGTTTCCCACAGAAAGTTAACGTCGCATTTCTTTGTGGCTGTTTCTTGAATGTCAAATCATCTATATGTTTACAGTAACCGACTAAGCAAAGTCTTTGTTCTCATTCTTCTCACAACCAATATTGAGGACATTAACATTGACGTAAATTACTGCCCACCAATTGTGACTAACAGCCAGCTCTCACCACACTCTTCCTACAGTTCAGTACTGCATTAGCAACAGAATACGATATATCTGTTTGGACATTCTATTTCATGTCATTTAATGCAAACCAAAATCATACACTCAGTGGCTGGTTAAAGAATATAAACTGCATAGATATAAATAGCCGTTTGATCACTTGAAAATACACCTTAGCTTCCGTTTCTTGCCTTCTGCTGTTCCATGATGACCTCTTTTTTATATGATTACTGACGATGAAGACAGGATAACCAAAGAAATTCAATTCCTTAGTCAATAGATCTCTGCGAATACATGGTAAATTCATGAGACAGAAAATGCGGTAGGATTCTTTTTTCTGCTTAAAAAAGTGAAAATTGTTTTTAAAAAATAGCAGTTTTTATTCTTAACATTTTCGATAATCAATATAAACTCTAACTTTACACACATTGTCTCTCTCTTCTTTTCATCAGAAATTATGTTGTCTTTCATTCCATTGACAATTTATATATTGACATATCTGAATATAGCCAAAGGCGGTCATTTATCAGTTAGTGTTAATCTACAAAGCTGTGATTACAGTGTACGAACTCAAGCTGATGGTACATTGTGTGATCAAGTGGAACGTTCATTCTGTTTACCGGTATTCAAAATATGCCTTCATACAGATAATGAAAAGTTAGTTATATCTCGAATTGATTAAAAATGTCCATTATAACTTTTTTTAAAAAGAATGTTTAGTGAACAAAGAATATTCTTTTCGATAACTCCTTCATCAATTCTACAGATACATATATATAAATTATAGTGAATGAATTAGTATTGTTACCAACATTAATGTTGTTTGAATAACATCGAATTAATAATAGTAATAATAATATCAATGAATTACAGTTCGATAGCATCAGCATAACAATACACACTGAATATCAGAAAAATTAGGAAAGATAATAATGCCAATTCATGAATTTATAGTCCCAACTGTAGACCGACCAGGGCAGTAGTAGTGACCAGGTGGACTTGCTTCTTTGGCACACAGAGCACTAGTTGTTTCACGAGAATCGTGATAACCTCAGTTGTTTGGAGTCTTCGGTACCTGGATGTTTTTGTCAATTAATTTGGTACCCAGTAGATGGTAGAGAAAGATTTTTCAATGCTGGCTTTGTGACCGGTTTGGACGAGGTGGTATAATATCGAACTGTTGATGGAACTTAAAAATATCTCTCATCAAATATAACTGTTTAACCCATCCACATTTCGTGATAGGGAGACAGCAGCAACAACAGACAACAATCAGCCAACATAAATGGGGGGAACCTGAAATAAACAACCTCCTTTACCTACCTGGGAAGCATCGTTTCAACTACAGGCGAAACTGACGAGGATATCAAAGCAAGAATCGGAAAAGAAAGACAAGCTTTCATTACTCTTAAGTCTGTGTGGAGGTCAACAGCACTCAGAATCAAAAATAACATCCGAATTTTCAACTCCAATGTAAAGTCAGTGCTAGTATACGGATCACAGACTTGGCACCGCGTCACGAAGGCCACTTTGAACAAACTACAAACTTTCATCAACAGCTGTCTTCTCTCAGTATTCAAGATCAATTGGCCAGAAAAGATCAGCAACAGGGATCTCTGGGAGCGAACCAACCAAGAACCGCTAGTTCAACAAGTAGGCAGGAAGAAATGGAGGTTGATTGGCCATACCCTGAGGAAGCCATCAAGTGGTATCACTAGACAATCCATCGCTCGAGTGGAACCTGAAGGGAAAGCGGCGAGTTGGAGACGCGCGGCTGAAGCCCTATGTTCCTCTAGGAATTAGAGGAAATAATAATGATAATACCTGCATGGGAACTAGTAATAAAGTTAACTTGATAAAAAAATATTCACTCATACTTTTTCGTTGTCGTATAGAATAACTAAAACTCATGGATAAAAAGTAAATATTTGATTGCTGAATTCATATTTTTGTTCAGATACAATTGTTTTAGGCAACTGTCATATCACGATAAGCTGAAAAGAGATTGATTCATTAGGTAATTCCTTAACCGTTTGCATAGGCTCGAGTCCAGCGTATTTAGTACAACACAGATTAAAATCCAGGCATATTTGTTTTAATAAAAAGTTAACCCTATCAAATACAACTGAAAGATAACTCTGGTCGGCATAGTTCAATATTTAAACAGGAAGCAAAGTGATCTTGAATTTTTCAGTTTATCCATACAACAATAGCAGACTTTGTAAATTACTTGGCTTCAAATACTGCAGCCTTTGTTCGTATCAGTTAAAAACCCACAAAAATAACATGTGATTACCGATTTACTCTTCATCAGTGATTTGCATAGAGTTGTGTTTCAGGTGTTTTGGTAAGAGTATAATTTCATCCAAGGTTAAATTTATTTGATGAAAGCACACAGTGATGTATTATTATTTATTGATGACGTTTTGAGCACAGTTTATTGCTAATTGTGTTCAAAACGTTACCAGTAAACCACACAGGAGCATTTTGTGGCCTCATTAAATAAGTTCACCCTATGATGGTTTTCGTAAGAGGTTTGTCAAGTCAGGTGTGTGAAACACTACTCATAGATGACATTGAGTGAAGGTGGAATTGTACGGTGAACATAAGGAATTGGAAATTCCTAAAAGATGAATAACTCTAAAGATTATTTTTACATAGCCACCTTAATGTCATTCAGTGAGCAGTAAGGATTAGTAGTGACTAATCTGAGATAAGTACGTAACGTAGCAGACAGCGAGTATTGAGACAGTTAACAGAAATAAAGCGAATACTACTTTTTATGTGAACCAGAAGGTCTTAGCAATTACTTTATACACCTCTCTATATTTTTTGATGTTCACTTTACTTTTAAAGTTGAAGCTGAAAACTTTCAAAACTCTTTGCTAACTTAGGATGTCACATAATTTGCCCTTACACATTTACTGTTGTCACGATCATCATATCACCACAAATAGTGATTAACTGTATGGATATAAAGCGTCGGTGGTTCAGTGACAGGAAGCTCACTAACCACGCCTCACATGGTTCGAAATTTGAACATTGGCCAACTCACTCCTAAACCTCTTGAAGCCGATAAGAAGTTCGGTAAAGAGAGAAGATTGGGCGTGAGGTTAGCAACTCTATCCTGTAGAAATAAAACCACTGTTTCGGAAACTTCTTAGCTCTAGCTTGAAGTCCTATGTTCCAGTCAGAACGTCAGGGAATAATTTTCATAATTTATGTTAAATGGACAAGTATTGGTTTTGTAGGGATTTTTGTTTGATTGGATGAAGGATTTCATCATGAGCTGAAATCCTCCATCCAATCCATCTTATTTCTTGTGTTTGCATGGTTTTAGTCAATAAAAACATGACCTCTGATGGTATTGTTCACTCTCGCTAGTATTTAAAATGTTTACAGACTGTTGATTCACAGGTACCGACTAAACTTAAGAAAAAGTATAGTTGTGGGTGACAACGAATTCCAATACATGAGATAACTGCTATCGACACTTAAAGTACAAACCGCTACTGCCTGGGATGTAAAACTAACTACCTGACTGACTGGACTGGTTTCAACATAGAACTTTGCACCGATGTGCAGCATTTCGAGTCGCCACACTTCGCTCAGAATACAAAGCAGGAGAAGAAAGTAAAATAAAAACGCAAAATAGAGACAGTAAAGAGAGATATGAGGCAAAAAGAATAGTAATAACGAAAAACAATATAGTTTTATTGGGTAGTATAAGTCACAAGGAGTAGATGCTTCTGCGCCATTGGGCCATGTCACTGGTTGTTTCCAGCCACGAGTTTTTACCATCCTGAGGTCCCCAACCAGACAGCCACTCCACACCTCCCTACGTGACTGGCTTAAACTAACTGTTGTGGATTTCATTGATTGGTGAAGCCATGTTTTGGTTTGACCGCCGCTAGCTCTTTTCCAGCCTGACCCTATATCAGCTAACATTGTCCGTCGAATAAGGAGATGGCTAGGCATACGTAACACATGTCCTAACCATCTCAATCGATGTAACTTCAAAGCCTCGTCTATTGATTCACCCTCCTCACCTAGCACTCGATTGAAGCCTAACCTCAATATCTCTCAACCTATTATACCATTTCACACGGAAGATAGAACGCAGTTACCTATAGTCTTTAATCATTGTGTTATGCCTACGGGTTGCAAAATGTAGTTGTATACTTTTCCTAATCGACTTTCAACCAAATGTCGTGCATATCTCGGAGACAAAGAAGAAATATTATAACGGATTGGTTTGCGCTTCAGGTCAGATCGCACTGTATCACGTGATCGATTATCAGAGACTTGAAGATGGTGGACTAAAAGAATATATTATGGAATAAATTTCTCTGAGAAAGCTGTATATTTTGTAGACATTGCCCAGAATTAAGCTATTATTATTACTAATAGTATAGGGTTTTTAAAGTTCCATCTAACTGGTGTATTTGTCAAAGATTATATCACATAACCCATCTGTGTGACTGCTGATGACTTCTATCGTCTTCAAAACTCTTCAGATAGCTTATTTTCCTGTGGCAGACTACTACCCATTATTCAGTAACACTTCTTGTCTAAACAAAGCATAAATTCGATGTACATGACAGTCAAAGTAATCTGAATCAGAAAACTTCACAAGATCTTTTATGTTCTACAATTCAACACTATCTTAATGCATTACAATGACAGTTTAGACTAAAACAAGAAGAATAACTTTAAGTGTTGGTTTGTAGGGATATACTTGGGTACATGATTTCATTATGAGCTGACATTGGTTAGAGAACCATTGGAAAACCACCTAGGAGCACTGGACAGCTGTTTCGTCCTAGTTTGAGACTCTTCATCAGTACGCACCCACCTGGGTTCGAGCCCAGGACCTTTTGGTTACATGGCGTGCTCGTATACCATCAAGCCACTGAGACCCAATCCAATAGCCCATGAATTCTAACTTCTGCCAATTCATGACATAGCGCGACCCCTAGCCAATGTCTTCGGCGATTATTTGTCCTCACACCCAAGCTGCCACACCCTACTGGTCACGACTTCTCACTAGAACCCCAGGTAACTACCTACCTGAAAAGGGAAAGTCGCTAGTGGGTGATCAGCGTTTTGTTCTCATCACACTCAAAAGATGAGTCTTCATTTGCCCTATACTTCATGAAGATTCCTTCATTCTTTTAATTATTACAAAATATTTCACACATAAATTTATTATATAGAATGAGTTTATGTTCACTAAAATTTCCTTTTTAAACTTATAAATTATATACATAGTGTATGCTCTCAACCACTTCCAAGAAACTTTGAACTTATCAAATCAAACCAAGGAAATTCTGTGATTTGGAAAAATGCCAGTAACATTGTCAATTTGTCCACCGTAATTGATGATGTAAGTATATTTGATTTAATTAATATTAATTAAAGATTTTACATATTTAATTTAGCTTAAAAATGTCATAGATAATTATTTTTAATGTATTTATTCCCCTTGATGAATTTGAAAAAAGCAAGAACATCAGTGGTTTGTGCAGAATAATATGGTACTATCATTTATTTCGTTGGCTTCTCATCAGCTGCTTATTATGAGGTTTAAGTACAGAAACGTTTTAACATACTTGCAAATTTTACATGTTGTCAGTTGACAGAAAGTTCCACAATTAGTAAACATTGCTCAGAAAATTGCGCTTATACAGTTTTACACAGGCAGTTCAAGTTAAAACAAAATAAATGTATGCATATAATGGTAAAGGAGTTGCATAATAAAGATGAGATATGCGTTAGATGCATAGTGACTAATAAGTTAGGTAACAATGTACTTAAGTGGAAATCGAGAAATCCTTCAAAATTATCAATAGACAAAGAAGCTCCATTCTCCTCAAGTTTGCCTAAGCAATTTCTATCAAACGCTTGAAACCAGATTCATGTGTTCAGAAAGAAGCAGTTCTTAGTCTTTCCTTGCCCTGGTAACTGGATGTCTTTACTATCTCATCTGACTACGTAATCTTTGTCTTTAACCTCACCCTCCTTTTATAATCTGTAATTTTGTCTGTCTGTTGTTTCTATGATTTGAGTTCAACTCAGTATATTGCTACCTAATTTAATAGTCACTCTGAATCTAACGCATATCTCATCTTTATTATGTAACTCCTTTGCCATTATATGCATACATTTATTTTGTTTTAACTTGAACTGCCTGTGTAAAACTGTATAAGCGCAATTTTCTGAGCAATGTTTACTAATTGTGGAACTTTCTGTCAACTGACAACATGTAAAATTTGCAAGTATGTTAAAACGTTTCTGTACTTAAACCTCATAATAAGCAGCTGATGAGAAGCCAACGAAATAAATGATAGTACCATATTATTCTGCACAAACCACTGATGTTCTTGCTTTATTCAAATTATTTCTAAATGAGGCTTTGAACTTGATCTTCATATTTATTGACTTTCATTAGCGAGAAAAATCTGTGATCATTAGAAAACTGATGTCTTTTTTAGGGATGAAAACATGATTTACTGAATACTGACGTTGGCGAATTCACCATTAGATTATTCTCATTCTGAACTAGATCAACCAATCAATCGACTATGATTCATAGCATGGAATAACTTCTTAGTCCTTCCCAATTATTACCACTGTACGCTTCAGGTTCTTTATCATATGAAAACTCAAGCATACCTCAATCAACATAACTTTCAGAGACATTATAATTGACTGCTTCTAAATACTTTAAATGGAGTTGTACATATGGAATGTCTTTATGTTGACAAAATCCTTATCGTAACCTGGATTGGGCGACCTGCTTAATCCCTGGGCTATCGAAAAACCTCCATTAATATATTGCTATTATTCCTTTTACTCTCCTTGTTTGAATCTAATAAAATATGATCTCTATTCTGGAGAGTATTTAAAATATTCACAACCTGCTGATTCACAAGTTTCTACTAAACATAAGGTGAAAAAGCATTATCCTTGATGGCATCTTATCCTAATACATGAGGTGACCGTTCCTGAGTGGTGTCCTTGACTCACAAAGTGTACTCCTGAACTTTTTATAATTGGCATTCAACCAAATGTCACGTATTTCTCAAACAAGAAAAACAAGAGATATCATAATAGATTGATTTGCTCTTCAGCTCGAATAGAACTATGTCACACACATTCTACTGTCAATTAGTCACTTATTTGAAGACGCTGGACGAAGGGAAATTATCATGCAGTAAACTTCACTGAAAATTCTGTACATTCTAAAAACATTGTTCAGAATAAAGCTATAATTATTATTAACCTGCAAAACCATATAGTGATACTCCTAATTATAATACCTTGTGGATGTTTTTCTAACTTGTAAGCAAACATTATTTAACTAGGAAATTTAAGTGAATTTTTTAGATGAACTCCAAGATGTGGGTTCAGAAATTTTTATATAAAATGAAATTGATTTGTTTTGAAAATTGCCTATTTTTCTTTGCAATATACCCATTAACTTCTAATATATCATAATTATAACCGAGGAATACATTCAGAAAGGGTTGTTTCAAATCCCCAAGTTCTAATGTATACCCTACTGATGAATGTTACTTAGTCTGAACACTACTTTCATCAACTCCTCCAGTAACTGAATATTATGTTAAAGGGTGTTGCAATGCGCGTTGTTGTATTACTTAGCTCATTGAGCAGAAAGTGTATCCCACAGAAATACTTCAAATGGGAAACTAGAGACTAGAGGACAACACAAAATAAAATCTGTTCCAGTCTATTGCATTCAACCAAATAATTAGGTTTTCAAGAGTTAGTCTGAAGGAATTCGATTTGCTTTAATTTTGACTACGAATTGATATCGGTGACAGAACTATTGAAAACCATGGAATATTGGACAGATGTCTCGCCTTAGTTTCGGACTTATCGACAGTACTCACCAACTGGAGTTCGAACTCAGGATTTATCGGTTACAAGGAGAGCTCGTGGATTATTCAACCACTAGGACCCAACTCAATGGCCAGCTCTTGAATTTCACCTTCAACCACTTAGTGATTTTAACGCGACCACCAGCCAATGTTATGACTGAAGAGTATTTGCCCTCACTCCTGGCCTGGTGGTGAATCCCGCTGGTGATGACTTCTCACCAGTACTCTAGGCAGCTTCATCTTGTAGCCCGTCACTGGCGAGCATCAGATAACTTTTCAACAGTTAGTTTGTAGAGATTTGATTTGTTTCATATTTGACGACAGTTCATAATGCAAAATAATTCGACCGGCCGCTTAGTAGAGAAAGTTTAAAAATATGCATATTTTAGCTATTTTCGAAGAAATAGAAAGTAACAATCAGTTGTTGGTACTTGTTGTTCTGAAGAATATAATTTACCATAATTAGTTTGATATTGGAGTTATTTCTCCTTCTAAATATTCACGATGCAATAAAACATGTAGATTATAACTTCAATAATACTTTAAATCAAACACAAACGTTTAATTGACTCAGTGGGAACATCATCACTCACTGAGAAATGCAGGTACATCCAGCTAACGAGTCCCAAGTAGGACGAAATGCGCATCCTCGATTCCACTGCTAGTCACCATCCACCAATTAAACACAAACGTTTACTGAACTTCTAAATGCTAAATAATATTACCACTAAAAAAGTTGTAAGGCAACGAAGTTCTAACAAACATTATTCCACTAGTGAGACAAAGTGTTTTGTCCCAGAAACTTGATAATGAGTAATTAAGCCAGCCCTTCTATATGGGTCAGAAACTTGGCCAGTATATCACAAAAAGGACTTCCAAAACGTTGTGCAGACCTTTATCAACAGCTGTCTTCGATGGCTCCAAACTGAAAATTAAATGGTTGGGCTGAGGGAATCAGCAGCAAAGCAACCAAGAGCCTATCGCTCAGCAGATATGTAGAGGGAAATGGAGATGGATTTGGCATACTTGAGGTGGTTGTCGAATGAAATCGCGCACAATGCAGACAATCTCTCGAGTGGAATCCCATTGGGAAGCGACGAGTAGGTTGTCGGTGCGACGGCAACATGAAGGAGATCGTGTTAGGAGGATGAGATGTGAGATGATAGGCAATCGTTGACGCAGCTGAAGGGGACAGAAGAGAACAGAACAAAGTGGAGATGCGTTTTTGAAGCCCAATATTCCATTCGAAACCCGACGGAATAATAATAATAATACGCCACAGAATCTAGTGAAGAGTAAAACAGTGCAATACAAGCTGTTAGCCATTTTGAATTGTAATTTTGCATCAGTTAGCTGTCTCGAATGAACCACTCGAGCTGCGGACAAGTCGAAAGATTTTCTTGTGTTCCCATTTTACGTAACATAACGGCGTACACAGTGGAATGGTGTTAGGAGTACTCATGTTTGTGATTTCTCATTGATATATTTGACAAAGATTGTATACATGCTCTTTGGACAGATGCCTCAATATTACCAGAATTAATAACTCGAAGTTACTTGTTTGATGGTAGTTAGCATTCCTACTTGGAACTCGTCATCTGGATGTAGTTGCTCCACGATAAATGATGGTGTTACCTGTGAAATTCGAACCCATCTTCCCTTGCTTCAAACAGTAATGCATTATCCACTAGACTACTATAATATTAAAGTCTGAAATAATGTGATTATATTTAGTTATTCATATTTAGGCTATTTACTGAATCTTTCTAAAAATCTATTAGTCTTATCAAAAGCTCAGTTATTGTTTTAGATGGCAATTACTTTCTGCAGTCATCAACTATCACATACAATTAAATGTCACTAACTTGTAATTTGCAATTTACTCAGTTTTAAGTGAAATTTCACCACAGTTTCCGTTGGAAACTGAAATTATTTAGATCACAATATGTGACCATCTTGATACCATAAATAGCAGTCAAGAATACAAACGTAGATGCATTGTGATATATACTAATGATTGACTGACATGCATAGATGCACACCACTCATGTTAACGACTGTAGAGTGCGCTACTAACACGACTTATAAGTAGTATATAGATGCAAATATGAATTTGCATTTGAATAAAGCAAAAATAACATTTTTTGCACATTAATATGATACCATCATTTATTTCGTTGGCTTCCCATCAGCTACTTACAGGCCAAAGTCATGGTAAAGTATATTTACAGAAACAATTTCAACATACTTGCACGGAGTTCATTTTTAAACTAAAATCAATCAAGTATTGGTTTTGTAGGGATTTAGTTCGATTAAATGCAGGATTTCATCATGAGCTGACATCAGTTACAGAACCATTGGAAAACCACCTATATAGTACTGGACAGCTGTTTCATCAGCCTAGCTTGGGACTCTTCATCAATACTCACCCACACCACGGGGTTCGAACCCAGGACCTTCTTGTTACAAGGCTAGCGAGCTTGTAGACCTTTGAGCCACTGGTTCGAACCCGGTGGATGCATACTGATGAAGAGTCCAAAATTAAGACGAAATAGCTGTTCAGTACTCCCAGGTATCCCAGTGGTTCTTTAACTGGTGTCAGCTCATGATGAAATCCTCCACCCAATCAAAAATCAATCAGTTAATATATGTATATAATGTATATAATATATGTATGTACATAATAATAACAATAATATCAAACACTATTCCGAACAATAATGACCATACACAGTGGAAATTTCGACAATACGTAATCAGATGAAAGAGGGGTGAAAATATCCAGTTACCAGGGTAAAGAAAGACTGACAGCTGCTTCTTTCTGAACGCATAAATCAGGTCTCAGTCGCTTGATGGAGATCACTTCGTCAAACTTGGGGAGAATGGAACTCTTTTGCTAATTGATAATTTTGAATAATCTTCCGACGTCCAACTGATGACTCATGTCAGGGAGATGCCTGGTGATGGCAATGTTTTAAGTATTTGTTCCCTTTAGAAATAAGCTTTTTGTTACATATTCAGAAAATCGTAGATATGCCCTTCTTTCTGTCCTTCCAATGTAACTTCTCCCGCAGATACATGTAAATTTGTATATACAGTTGGAGTTAACATGAGAAGGATATCTAGCGACTTCTGATTGCACAGAAGAGCGAATTGTCTGATAGACGTGAATGAGCTTAGCTGCAGGATAGGATCTGCCTAGCAATGTCCTCAATCCTCCATTGTCAACCTGATTTATGCTTTCAGAAAGAAGCAGCTATCAGTCTGATTATGTAATGTTAAAAGTTTCCAATGTGTATGATCATTACTGTTCAGAATAGTGTTTGATATTATTATTATTATTCTGTATATACATATATTATTACTGTATGCATATAGTGACTGATTGATTTTCGTTTAAAAATGAACTCCGTGCAAGTATGTTAAAATTGTTTTTGTAGATATATTTAATAATGACTGTGGCCTGTAAGCAGCTGATGGGAAGCCAAAGAAATAAATGATGATATCATATTATTGTGCAAAAACTGTTGTTCTTGCTTTATTCAGATTAATTAAGGGGAATAAATGCATGAAATCAGTATGTATAAAACCTGCAAAAATATTGAATAGCGGAGAGACAGACTCAATGGCAAGGGAAACAAATGAACGATTCTTGTGAAACAATATAGAGAACAGTGAAAAAAAGACAAAAGTAGCGCAATACAGGAGATAGTTGCGACTTTTCATTTTAATATATGGTAGATGTATTTCGCCTGTATCTGTACATGGAGTTACCAAGAAAAGAATTCCATCACCAAATAGTCTTATGTTCTGCCATTACACTACTAGTACCCACTAACCAATAGAAGTGATGTCTGCACTAGACGGCCGTTTCGGACATTTGGGGCCGGGTTAGCCAATAACGTACACGGTTTGACTCAGCCTAGAGAGCTGTATCAGTTCAAACCAACTGAATTTTGGCCAGCTATTTGGGCGAATTAGTAATACGTTAATTGGCAATTTGCAGCTTACCCAGTTCGAGGTGAAATTTCACCACACTTTCACTTCAGTCTAGCTAGCAAGCACAATAGGTTGATGTAAGCGATGCCCAGTGGTATATATAGCGTCATAAATATCACTGAGCTTATAACATAAATAGTTTATGCTAAAAACTGTTTTCTTTTTTAACTGAACACTAGTTAGTAACTAGTGCAATGAGTCAAGTCCTTTGTTTGGTGCAGACTTAATTCTATCAGTCATGCTGGCAGTGTGGCCACCATTCTAGGTGGCTTGCCATCACGGTGCACTTTGAATAGTTGATTAAAGTCCTACAAAAGATCAGTCGTGAGCCCGACCGAATAACTCAGTGGTAACGACTCTGACTGCAGTACTGGTTCGAATACGCCTTGTTGACCGATGAGTGTCAACTGGCACAAAACCTAGGTACGAGACTTCCTGCTCATTTCCTCCAACCATATAACATCAAGTGTGTTCACTGTTCACAACGAAGACAATATCTAGACCATGATCATACAAACTTCTAAATTCGGTAAAGTAAAATGCGTAACATGAAAAACCTTACCTTATTTAAATTCAGGAATTATTCTTAGTTGTTTAAAAATGTCTATTATAATTTTCATTACAATGATTAGTGAATAATCCTCGTTTCTTTTTAAACCTTCACAGTTATCTATCCATAATAGTCAAAGAAAAATCGATACTGACAAGGTTAATACTTTTTAACGAAACTGAAGCATTAGGGTAAAGAATGCCGAAGGTGTATATGTGAGTAAACTGTTAATAGATTACGGATTTTTCGTAGTACACTAACTGAAAAAGCTGTTCGGAAAAGTCTTTAAAACAGCAAATGATTATGAATGTTGAAAACCAGTGAATGGTATCTGGTCAATGGTTATCTAATTGATTCCAGTCTATAATTTAAATTGAAAGGATTATATCATCACAGATTACATTAACATTACATGTCTCCAGTCTCTGAACCCTTCTTTTAGCCTGGGCCCAGACGGTTTGCCTAGTGTTATTCTCACAAAATGTGCAGACATCCTGTGTTATCCTCTCATGGACATATTTAACGAATCTTTTTCCAGAAATGTCGTGCCAGCCGTTTGGAAGGACATCAAAATTGTACCTATCCTTAAGTCGTCTACTGGAACATGTTTTAAATTTAGACCTATTGCTATTACGTCTCCTTTTCTAAAAGCTATGGGAAAGTTACTCTTACTTAGTCTTCAACCTTCACTTAAAGCCTTTTACGATCCCAAACAATTCACTCATAAACACAGTAGAAGTACTTTAGATGCAGTTACAGTCTTGTTCCATAACATTGTCTCCAGCTTAGACAATGGGGCTAAATTGTTCGCTGAGCCTTCCTAGATTACACATTTGCTTCGACTCAGTACCTAGGGGCATCTTGTTAAACAAGCTTGCTGAAACTCAAACTGACTGTTGAATTGTCAAATGGCTGCATTCTTATTTCTCAGGAAGAAAGCAGTACACTGTATGTCAGGGAAAGTCGTACAATTCTTTGCTTACTGAGGCTGATGTCGCTTAAGGCGCTGTCCTTTCTCCTTTTCTGTTTTCTTTCTTCTTGCATGATTTGCCTCACTCTGATGAAATGAACTTTGTTAAGTATGCCGACGATCTAACTATTTCAGCGTCTGTTAACTCCAAGCTTGACTGTGCTAAGATGAACATCTTTCTATCACGAATTAGCGAATGGTCTTCGTCTAACGGCCTTAAACTAAATCCTTCCAAATGTCAGACTGTTAATTTCAGTTTCCGATGCAAACGAAAATTAAATGAAGCCGCTGGTTCCTATGACCCTTGCAAACTTGATGATACTGATGTAGAAATCAAGTCTGAAGTTAAGTATCTTGGATTAATTCTCTCTTCTGACCTATCCTGGTCTTCCCACGTCTTAGCGATTTCTAAAAGAATATTCCGTCGGACCTTTTACATTAATAAGTTAAGACACTCAGGTATAACCCAACCACTCCTCTTACAGTTTGTCAACTCGTGTGTTTTACCTATTCTTCTGTAGTGTTCACCCTTATTCTTTCCTGGGTTGCTTAAAAAAGACTATGTCATACTTTGTAGAACTTTGAAGACTGTCAGTAGGACGAGTTCTATCCCATTGGGTCATATCGTTGACACTGTCACGGATAGGCACTTGATCATGCAACAAATTTGCTAAAGGAATTTTGTCAGACTCTGAGCACCAACTCTACCCTCCGCTCCAACCTTGTGTCTCCTCAGGTAAAACAAGAAGTCTTTTCAGAAGACTCTATGCACGTACGTTTAAGTATAAAAATTCCACTATACCATGTTTGGCACGTACTTTATGTGATGAAAATGGTGTCAGGCATGAACTAACTAACCTTCTTTGCACTACTAAATAAACCATTTCTTCCATCCTTACAGTACCAAACTTTATTGTTATTGTATTTCTTATATTTACAATACTCTCAATTTTTTGTTTTTATTTATTTATTTTCATAAGTGTGAACATCGTTTAAGCTGTGTTACCACTGGTAATCTTGTATTTTCCCTCACTATACTATATCAACAGAACATTAGATTCAATACTCTATAGTAACATGCTAAAATTTTCAAACTGAATCGGCAATACTGTTTGAAACAAACTCACTGTTATTATTATTATTATTATTATATTTAATATTCTCAATTCGTGCTTCGAATATTTTTGACTTTATATCGTAAACGTGGACAAATTCCTCTGGTTACTTTTGTTTTAATTTTATTTTATTTATATTTTAAGTAAATCAGATGCAATATTGTGACAAATGCTGAGAATTCCATTCTGTATTATAAGTACTGTTTTTGGAGTAAAGTAAATTATTATTATTATTAACTTTATCAATCATCATTCCTACTGTGATGATGATGATGATGATGATAATAGTGAGATCGATCTGTGAACTACTGTCTATTTTAAGCACACAATAATACAATAATGGATATACATTCATTCAATGAAGGTATTTGCTCTAATAAAAAGAATGACATATTTTGTACATAACACAACTATAACTTGTGTACTGCTGAGAGATGAAACAAAAGCTTATGGAAATAGCTACAGTATGAAGCTGAAAAATAATTATCAAATATCTGAGTTAATTGATTTAAAGGAAGCCTTACTTTCTGCTATTTTCACTTCTACGAACTTCTTTTTAAAAATTTTCTTTGTGACATTTACTATTAGTGATACTATATACATTAGTTAGCAGTTACACTATCTGGAATTCCAAATCAGCGCGTATTTTTTTCTTTCTTATTTTAGCGAAGATCTATGGATGGAGCGACACTAGATATTAAAGTATTTAATAAGGATGACGATGAAGGAAATATTGTCGACCGATTCGCCTATTATCTAACAGAAAGACTTAACTCGCTTAGATCTGGAAAACTAGTAACATGGACTAATACCACTCAAACATCGATTCGAGGTTCGATGCAGTGAGTTAAAAATTTGTGAATTTCTAACAGCCTATGTTTAATTATATCAGATAAGATTTGTGAAAAACCGATCCTAATTTATAAGTTTAAAGGTAGATATTGTATCAGAGCATATATCTTTTATATTGAATGATTATTTTTAGAATAAGGTTATAGGAGAGAAGTTACTCACATTTCTTGAAGCACAATGAACTTGTGTACTCGGTGACTTCAACTAGGCATAACACTAGTGACTGTTATGTAACCATTTACTATATTAGACTTATAAGTTGACCATGTGAAAGGCTGTACCTAATACTAACTACCTCTTGAAAAGGGAGAGAGAGAGAGAACTACACTTACACCATTAAAAGACGTACTCAAGCAACAACGTGAGTCGGTAGACCTAGGGTAGCATTCTCGCCAATCATGTAAGGAGTTCGATTTCCCATCGATGCACTTTTAAACCTTGTCTAGTTTACTTGCCAGTATTAATCCGGAAAAAAGGGGGAGACTGGATGTGGGGCTAGCGATCCCATCTTACATAAAGCGTACAACCACTGCTGATACTTCCAAGCGCAGGCTTGAAGCCCTATACTCCATAGACTCACACTACAACTACAATGCCTGTATTCGTTTAAGTTTTAACTGTCTGGGACACTTTTCTTTGGAATCTATTAGTAAAGGTAGACAGATTGATCGCTGAATATTAAACATCTGAAGACCATTAGGGCTAATTAAACTTCTTTAATCTCCTGAAAGATGTTCAGAAGCTGGTTGACATCAAGAGCCTTTAGTGGCCTAGTAGTAATGACTGACTTAAATCTGCAATTGAAAAGTATATCGGTGTAGACACACACGGAAGCCTTCGAAGTGAGGACGGGAGTGATGCAAGGCTGCCTACTATCGCCAATGATTTTCCTGATTGCAGTAGATTGGATAATGCGACAGACAACGGGCAATGAGGAAACAGGCATAAAATGGACTCACACAAAAAACTTGGAGGATCTGGACTTCGCCGATGATATATGATGATATATCTCTGATTTCCCACAAACTGGAAGATATGCAAGTGAAAAGTAACAAGTTGGCAGAACAAGCATCAAATATAAGAATTCACTTCAGGTGACCATAGATAAAACAGAGGTGATGAAGATTCTTGGCCAACACCAACAACAACAACAACAGACAACAATCAGCCAGCATAAATGGGAGGAACCTGAAAGAAACAACCTCCTTCACCTACCTGGGAAGCATCGTTTCGACTACAGGCGAAACTGACGAGGATATCAAAGTCACAATTGGAAAAGCAAGACAGGCTTTCATTACTCTCAAGTCTGTGTCGAGGTCAACAGCACTCACCATAAAAAATAAGATCGGGATTTTCAACTCCAATGTGAAGTCAGTCAGTACTACTCACTATACGGATCAGAGACTTGGTGCGTCATAAAGAGCACCTCAAACAAACTACAGACCTTCATTAACAGTTATCTTCGCTCAATACCACTCAAGATCAGATGGCCAGAAAAGATCAGCAACAAGGATCTCTGGGAGCGAACCAACCAAGAACCGATTGCGAAACAAATAGGCAGGAAGAAATGGAAATGGATTGGCCATACTCTGAGGAAACCATAAAGTGACATCACTAGACAAGCCATTACTCGATTGGAACCCGAAAGGGAAGGGGCGAGTTGGTCGTCCAACAGTGACTTCGAGGAGGTCATGCGAGGAGGAGATGAAAGCATGTGGGCAGACTTGGAGCGGGGTGAAAAAGTTGGCAGGAAACAGAAGGCAATGGAGACGCGCAGCTGAAGCCCTGTGTTCTTCTATGAATTAAAGGATATAATAACAATAATAATAATAATAGACACACAACCACAATGATCAAAAACTCAGGTAAACACAAATTAAACAATCGGGACACTAAGGAAAAGAGTAGAAGATCAACTGCTCTTCTACTTTCTTCTGTCTAACAAAACTGAGTGTACATCAAATTATTCCAAATATGTAGAATAAATAAGATTCGTAATTTGAAATTTACATATTTCGTGGTGAAATTTTAACCGCACTTTTCTTTGGTAAACAGACAACTAACCATGTCAATCAATCGGTAGCATATAGCTTCATGCAATTATGTTTGCTTTCTTTATAACTGTTTTCTGGTTTCAAGCGGATCACATATTGTGATCTCAATAATTTCAATTTCTATAGGAAACTGTGGTGAAATGTAACCTCGAATTATGTAGACCGCAAGTTGCGAATTTGACGTTATTAACAATTCGATCAAATATCTACGCAGATATCGGGTGATTTGGACATATTTGTCTCTTTGTGCTTGAATGAGTTGAACCGATGATGAGGTCGGCCTCAGAAGAGCCCAAACGGTCATCCAGTATTTAGATCACTTCAATGTGATTAGCAAGCATTGTAATGGACAAATTGTTTGGAAATTCTCTCCTGGACGATCAATTTACAATACTTATACTTATTTAGACATTTCAGCCAAATATGTAATCAGTTCATGTTTTTCCCCCTGGACTGCGTATCATTAATTTGACATATGCATACCAGATATTGAATTTTGGTCTTTATTATTGGCCTTTGTCTTTGTTTAATCTTTAGTTATAATACGTCTTTGTGTGTACATTGACAATGTGTTGTTTAACCATATGAATTTGTTTCGAAGGTTATTCTGACCCAGGAAACCTTGGTGTGTGATTCTTGTAGACAGAGTTCTTGTCCCCACTTCGTTGAGAATATTCTCCTTGACGATTCTAAGTACTTTTTGACCAAGTTAAACTTCATGCATCACTGACTACCAATGGAGTGCGATAGCAGCAATGGCCTTGAAACGCTCACTGACCAAGTTAGTGAAACCTGGCAAGTAATGCTATCATCATCAATAAAGTATGCTCATCGAAGTGTTATGCTATTAAATGGGATATCTGGCAAGTTACAGCTTAGGTTTGGGAAAGATTAAGTTACGCTTTATGCCAAGGACAAGTTAGGGTTGGGTTAACCTAATAAAGGCAACATTAGGGTCACGTAAAGTTAGATTACAGTTAGTTTAGGGATATTTTCACGTTAGGGTTAGGTTCAGGAAAGATTATGGTTACTGTTAGGTTAAGAAGAACTAAATAATTACATGCATAGAATGTAGTTACATTAATCTGTTGATATAAGAATAGAACCTGTGCACTGTGGTAGAGTATTTTGATAAAGCCTCACAGTGTTATACAGTAATATTTCCTGATGACCATGTTTCGAGCACAATTTATCGCCCAGGAAGTATTACTGCATAACACTATGAGCCTTTATCAAAATAAATTTTACCCATAATGGAATTATACTCTGTTGATACTCCAACCTAAAACTGAGAGCTATTTTTATCACAAGTGAGAGCAAGGTATACTCAGTAATACTTTTCTACAATTTTTACGCATTATTTCATAAATATATGTATTCCATACACAAAAATGACTCCTTCACGTGATCGATGCGTCCGAGGTCATTCGCTGATTAGTAGTTAGTGGTGCTTAAAGTTTAACTTGGCCTACTTGTTTTGTATTTAGAAACATACATTACCTGTATATATCCGCCTAACGGCACTGTTGAGGTAATTTTGAGTTTGATGTTATTATTGTTTAGTAGAACCCCTAAAATATTGGAGAACAATAGTATTTTTCCTGCTTTTTGGAACGTTTCATGATATCGCGCGTCTCAACGAAGATGTTTCAGCTACACAGTCTGTCTGTTTTAGACATAGAACTTTGCACATATGTGCACCAATTCAAGTCGCCACACTCCATCCTTGTAGCACACAAAGCAAGAGAAGAAAGTACAAGAAATGCATAATAGAAACAGTAGACAGGGATATGAGAAAAAAGGAATAATAATACCGAAGAACAATATAGTTCCATTGGAAATCATAGGTCACAAGGAGTGGATACATCTGCGATAGCCATTGAGAACGATTTTGAGCCATGTCACCAATTGTTTCCAGCCATTGGCTTTTACCGTCCCGGGGACCCCAACCAGAAGTCTACACCCTCCTACGTGGCTTAGACTAACTATTGTAGATTTCATTGACCGGTGAAGCCATGTTTTGGTTTGACCGCCGCTAGCTCTTTTCCAGCCGGCTATACAGTGTAACGTAGAAATTAGTTTCTAGCGTCTAGACGAAAAGGACTAAATTTGGTCTCTACAAACATTACTGCTTGATATGAGTAGTATACAAACACTCGTCTCAATCAACTAATAGGGACTGGATATAATTAAAACTTGGTTTCTCATGCTTAAATTCTGCAAAAAGATCTGAGCTAGTAAAAGAGAAAAATATGTTCAGTGAAGAAGCATATTTCTACTCGTTCAAATCCTCATCAACACCTTCACAATATAATAATAATACAGAGCTTTCAAATACTACACCATGCGTAATGTTAACGAGATGGTAATTTTATTTTTATTTATTTTTGATTTACAGCTTGATTCCACACTGTATTTTTGGTACAAGTATGGAATTCTCAGCGTGGATGTCGGTAGCCCAAATTTCGCAGGCTGACCATAGATATCCGGTGTGCGTCGGCAGGGAATCGGACCTCGGGCCATGTGCATGGTCGGCGAGAGTCCTTACCACTGTGCCACCGACACCACTGTCAGTTAATAAGTATTTCTTAAGTTGAAAGTATGAAATGAATAAAAAGTAATCAAAATCATAACAAAAAGTAGAAATAATTTAATTTCAACTTATAATTTCATCCCATATGTATATGTCTTACAGTTTGCAGCTATCAATTACAGCCATATACACTCCTGATAATGATGATAATTATAAAGAAATAATGAAGCAACCTCCTTCAACAGAGATACAATTAGTTGGTAAAGAATCCAAAGACTATCCAGAATGTAAGTAACTCTTGAAACAAATTGTAGATGTGCAAAGATATATAACACTGCATAACACCTGCCCTTGACACATAAACCAATATATATATATATATATATATATATATATATATATAATCTGTATGAAAAAGTGCATTCATTCAAATTAGGGACGAATACAAATTAAATGCTATCAGAGTAAACGAATATCAGTATTCTGAAGAGTTAACTTGTAGAGACTTGATTGTTTTTTAGTTTAATCACAGATTGGTATCAGTTAGACAACCATTGAAAACCAGGGAGTGGCGGACAGCTTCCAAGTCCTTCTTTTGGAATCTACACTACACTACGCACCCATAACCCCACTGATAATTGAATGAAGTGTGAGGACAAATACTACCCGATGATAGTGATTGTGGGAAACGCTAAAATCACTAAATGACAGAAGTTTGAGTTCACAGACTATTGTGTTTCGTCCCAGTGGCTGGTTCATCAACAAGCTCATCTCATATCCTGAACGTTCTGGGTTCAATCTCCCGGTGAGTTCATGAGTGCGTACTACTCAAGTGTCCTAAGGAAGGACGAAACAGCCATTCAGTTCTCCCTGGTTTTCAATAGTTCTGCAACTGAAATCAATCTGTGACCATACTTGAATACGAGTACAGAAGATAAGATGATAGTTAAGTAAAGCTTAGTAAAAATATTTGTAATAAGTAAAGTGACAGAGGATGAATACATTTCCGCCACTATGATCAATTTTTGGCTGAAGTCAATGACTTCATGGATGGGTGTCACTGATTGGTCTGACAGTACTTATCATTTCTCATATCCTAATTCAACTATGATTTCTCTTAATATCAGTAAAAAGTTTGAGCATTGTGGATTAGATCAAATAAAGTATAATTATATTTCAATAGTTTACACACAATGATAAGTTTTGTTATTGGTAATATTTCTCTCACTGAAAATTAGTGGATTATTATTCGTAGAACCTTTTTTCATTGAAACTAGTTTGAGAATATTCATAAAGTCATCAAATTCTGTTCGAAATTATAGCTCACTTTTTGATTTCAGCACATTTGAGTAATCTACTGAAGACACATACGTCCAGATGCATAGAACTCATCTCCAAATTGCCCTATTAGATGCCATGTCATACGCCAGAATGCTACGGCTTTATTTTAACCCTTTTTAATATGTTTGCGTCAAAACCTGTTGATTCTTACTTCAATCTGTGTGTTTTAGATTAAACACACCGTTTCAGCACTTTGTGATTTTCAGGCAACTGACTAATGTCAATCATTGATGAAGTTCATTTGGAAAGTGTTTTTCACCAGCTATTTACTCAATAAAACACACATAAAACATAAGTTAGGCAGTCTTATCAGGAAAAAAAATCATGCACCTTAAAATACCCCTGCAAATAAACTTTTTAACTATAGGCACACAGTATCTCTTTTATAACTCATTTTTCTACATGAAAATGCAATTCACTTTGATTTATTACGGCCTGGATTATACATTTTCTAGTTAGTCAATTCTAATCTGTAGTGCTCATAGAATGACATCGCACACCATCGCACACCACGCCATCACTAGAGTAGAACACGAATGGGTGTAACGAAGAGTGAGTCGTCCAATCGTCACAGGGAAGAGATCTTAATGGTGATGAGAGACTACGAACAACTATGGGGCCAGCTACAGAGGACCTCAGAGAATAGGACAAAATAGAGACGTGCCCCTGTTCCCCTCGAAACCCAAGGGAACAACAATACTAATAATTTGTTGTGCAATATAGCTGTATTAAATACTCTCCTTGAAATTGCATATCATACCAACATAGAACTCTACACTCTGATAGGACACCACGCACTTTGTTATTGACTATTAATCTCGCATAGATGGTATATTATCATTTCTCACGCACTTTGTTATTGACTATTACGATCAATTATTTCAAATGCTGTTAGCTGTCTATATTGTTGTAAAATGTATAAATACCATGACTTTCTTTGTCGTTGTTGTTGTACTACAATACACAGTCACAGTCCAGCCTTTGTCTTTTGATATTTGCGTGCTTTACTGAATCGGAAGGTACCACAAGCAGATAGGCATATTAGTCAGGCGCAGACAGAACAAGGCGACAACGTCCTCATTTAATTCCCTACAGTTATAACAAATTGGCGACGGGGTTTACCTTAATTCATTGCAGTTGTAACAAGCAAGCGACGACGGGTTTTATTCTGTTCAGCGCAGCTATAGAACATTTTTGACTGTGTTAATTACAACCCAATTACAATGTCTATCTCTCTGGACGATCTCAAATCTATCTTGCAGCAGCAGCAAGTTCAGAATGAAGCAGCTCAACTAAAATTAATCGAAGCTCTCACTCAGAAGCTGTCCATTCAAGTTCCATCAACATCTCATTCAGACAAATATGAAAGCATCTCAAATTCCATCAGTGAGTTCAACTACGACCCAATATCTGGTCTCGTATTTGATGCATGGTTCAATCGTTACGAAGACGTTTTCCGTATTGAATGCTACATGTTTGATGATGCTGCCAAAGTCCGATTGTTACTAAGAAAACTTGGTACTGTTGAGCACAACAGATATGTTAACTTCATTCTGCCCAAGAACCCACGTGAGTTATCATTCGATGAGACAGTCACCGTTTTATCACAAATCTTTGGTGAACAGTCATCCATGTTTAATATTCGGTATCAATGTTTTCAGTTGACAAAAATGCCTTCCGATGATTATGTCACTTACGCTGGCAAAGTGAACAAGGAATGTGAAAGGTTCAAACCACACGAAATGACATCAGATCAGTTCAAGTGTTTGATTTTTATTTGTGGGTTGAAGAACCCAGAAGATACTGACATAAGAACTCGACTTCTGTCACTCGTGGAACAAGACCCGAAAATGACTTTACAAATGGTGACAGCAGAATGCCTACGCTTAATCAACTTGAAGCACGATACTGCTATGGTGGAGTGCAAACGACAGTCGTCTGAATTTGGTTCAATTAACACAGTGAAAAGTCCTCCGATCACCGTTAAGCACACAGCACGTCAGTCTCAGAATTCAGCTAAACCTCCTTCAGTGTGCTGGCACTGTGGTTCGTGGCATTTTGTCAAGTTCTGTCCTTTCAAGAAACATAAATGCCGTAATTGTCACCGTTTTGGACATAAGGAGGGTTACTGTCCACCGCAGAAAAATTCTTCGGTGAGGAACAGAAGTAGTCGTTTCAAGCCGAAACAATCTCCTCGAGTACAGACCATTTTCACAACTTCCAAAGTCGATTTCGCCAGCAAACGTAAGTACATTACACTAGGTATTAACGGCAAACATATTCGTCTTCAGTTGGATACGGCATCAGATATCACCTTAATTTCCCGAACTACGTGGCGCAAACTTGGGTGCCCACAGATTCTGCCGACCGAGCATGTCGCCAAGAATGTCTCTGGAGATATACTGAAACTCGTGGGTGAGATAAATTGCCAGGTTCAGTTTGGTGAGCATCAGTTCAATGGTGTATGTTACGTCACAAACTACCATGATTTGAATTTGCTTGGTCTTGACTGGTTAGACAAGCTCCATATCTTCAATGTACCATTAAATTCAGTATGCTCTAATGTTTCGTCCTCAACACATAACGTTGTTCCTGATGTTCTGGTGTCCGATAATGGATCGCAGTTCACCTCATCACTGTTCTCAGACAAACTTGGTTTCTGCAAACTGTTTGGCATCCAGCATATTCGTAGCCCCCCGTATCATCCCCAATCGAATGGACAGGCTCAACGTTTCGTCGACACCTTTAAGCGTGCTTATGCAAAAGCGAAGGGGGAGGGAACAACAGAAGAAATTTTGGATAGATTCTTGCTGCATTATCGTACGACGCCAAATCCTTCCGCCCCAAATCAGTTATCCCCAGCGGAAATTATGTTTGGCCGGAAGATCAGAACTGCCCTCGACTCAATTAAGCCTAGCCAAGTAAAGCAGGGCTGCAGAAATACAAAAATGGAAAACCAATTCAATCGCCATCACGGAGCTAAACGTCGAGTTTTCAAATTGTATCAGCAAGTTTATGTACGAGATTTTCGATATTCACCTCCGAGATGGATTCGAGGACAAATAGTGGGGCAGAAAGGAAGGGTTTTATACAAAGTGAATGTAGAAGGACAGTTATGTGTCAGACACACGAATCATATACGAGATGCGTCAGATAGACCCGACAATGAGAGACGAGACATCACGTTAGAAGTATTAGTAGATACATTTAATCTTGCGCAGCCGGAAGCCCGGGACACAGATCACACTCTATCCAGTACCACGCGAAGGTCAACTCGACAAAGAAGAGCTCCGAAACCTTTTCAAATAGATCCAAAAAGCAAGTCCTACACTTTTTACGGGGAGAGGTGATAGGATCCCACGCACTTTGTTATTGACTGTTAATCTCGCATAGATGGTATATCATCATTTCTCACGCACTTTGTTATTGACTATTACGATCAATTATTTCAAATGCTGTTAGCTGTCTATATTGTTGTAAAAATGTATAAATACCATGACTTTCTTTGTCGTAGTTGTTGTACTACAATACACAGTCACAGTCCAGCCTTTGTCTTTTGATATTTGCGTGCTTCACTGAATCGGAAGGTACCACAAGCAGATAGGCATATTAGTCAGGCGCAGACAGAACAAGGCGACAACGTCCTCATTTAATTCCCTACCGTTATAACACAGTCGGAGCTGCTACATTTCAGAAAAATATCCAGACATAGGTAGAGAAAGAAATGGCAATGAAACTATAATAGAAATGAATGTAATGGAAGAGAAATAACTGCATAAAGAAAGAAAACTTATTGAGCCTAGATGACAAGAAGGAATTTATCTGTGCTATTAAGCCCCAAAACAGACAGTACCCTAATCTTGATGAAAAGTATATGCAGTTTTGTTTGACTGAAAGTATGCAAAACTTTACTTCACCACTGCCTTACACAGAATCCCTGTTTATATAATATTAACTCTTATCTATTTTTTTTATCTTTCTTTACAGGGGTGAGATTTTCTTGTTTCATAGCAACTTCAGTATTTCTTAAAGATGTCTGTCTTAAAATGGGCGTTCAGTGGAGAGAAATCACACCATATGAGAAGAATTTTGATGATTATGAACTGACTATATTTCGCCTTTACCATATGTTTAAAGAATGGTTTTAATTTCTTTGTCAAGTATCCTAAGTTATAAATGATTTATTAATATTACCAGTAAATTTATATAATATCCATTTTTTTAAACTTTTCCTGAAACCGCACCAAAATACATATTTCCTGATAAAAACATCTACAATCTGAATATGAATGATAGTTCGAACAACTCACAACGTATAGTGACAAAAAATAATATATCTAGGCGTCAATCTATTGTGAAATACTTCCCTAGTACTCCGAAAGGATTGATTTTGCATGACTGTGGAGCCTAGGCTGCTTGAGATCGGTAACATGACGCTTTTTTATTGGCGATTTTACTTCACGGAATCTCATCTGTGCTTAATACTTTACTTCCTGCTGTTTGGATGTACACTTTTCGGGACCAGTTTTTCCTCCATACCAGAAAGATAGAACAGTAGACTAGTGCCTCTGCCACTTTTATACTTTAACTTCAGTTATTTCTACAGTTTAAATATGATACAGACGCTTTTGAGATATGATTCATGTATAAATTTTAAACTGCATAGGTGTCTGTAAATTTAAAGCACCATGTGGAAACGAGATTATTCAATTCCTAACCATATGCTTTGGAAACATTCACACGAACTGCTTGTCCACAATAGTTTCTTGGTGAATTTGTAGAGGCCTAACAGTGTTTTCATCTCCTAACACGACCAATCATTCGCAAAATGACTAGCACCAGTATAAACTAAATTAGTGTTTTACTTAATCTGAAGGTAGGTAGGTACTGACGACAATATATTGAATCAAAGAAATGAATTAGACATATCCCATAAAGAGTAGAATATTTTGCACAGGCAATCGAAATCATTTTTTGGGGTAGAGAGGGGGGAGGAAGCTTCACTGACTTAAGTTATAGATGAAATCAGTGCGCTGAGGTTAGCAGCGCAGATACTGACAACTGTACTTCATCAGATGTACACTCATTTGAGGCGAAACTTTAAACATCCAGAGACGACTTATCAGCTTTTAGTAATTTCTTTTTACTGATGTATTGATAATGAACTTCATTGTAATCTGCTGCTGCTAGGAGTGTGTACTACACGCGGTTAACTACAAACGTCATCGCGTTGCAATTATTTTCTTAATCTATGTGTACACTACAACTACGATCATTTTAATGATTTGATTCTTTTAAGCAGAATTAAGCTAAGTGAATCCACAAATGAGTGAAACAGTCATTTATTACTTGAGTCACTTCAACCAGTAGTATATATGGCAAAGCTATTCTGATAATCGATCTAATTAGGGGGGGTGGGGGGCAGGGACATGGAAGGTATCAAAACCTTCATACCCGAGATACAACTTGTTTGCGTATAAAGAGGGTTTATTTACTTTACAACAAACAACTGAAATATGAGTTTTTTTCAAAATGGTTACAAAACAAATTCATTCATTTATACATTTCAACATCAGATGGAAAAGGAAAAGATGGAATGATACTTTCCCAGTAAGGGAATTCCTTCTTTACATTGTTCATGTAATATGTGCATATGTCAATAATACAACCAGGATTGTTAATAATTTTTTACAATGAGCCGTTTGGTGTATGGTAAGAAGATTCATCACTTGTATCCTGATGAGGATTACGATCTGAGTTTTCGTCTGACTGTTGTCGCTGCTGTTGAAATTTGCTTTCTACCTTACTAACTGTAAGTGAAATAGTTGAACGACACAAAATAACCCAGGATATTACTAAAATTTTTGCAGGAATATACGACAACACAGTACATACTGCAACGAGTACCTGATGATGCATTGAATCATCCGCCTTTTTTATAGAATATAATGTCGCACGACTCATTGTCTCTGCAGGTGCACGAGAAATTAGATAGGCTATTAAAATAGCTTCAACTGCATGTAGGGCAAAATAAATCCCGAAACGACGAGCCACCTGTAGAAAATTTATGCAAAACATTGAGAAAAAGCATGGTAATAGTTTATAATACATAGACAACCACATAAATTTTGTTTGTAGTATTTATAGTGACGAAAGTAATATTAACAGTACTAAACACAACACTGATACACGTAAGCAAACACATGTACTACGATTGCATCGTTAGGGTTGTGTTTCTCAATTTTTGGGTGTTTGTTTGCAAGGATTTGATTAGCCTCCAGTTTGATCACAGATCGGTATCAGTTAGAGAACGATTGAAAATCACGGAGTACTGAACAGCACGTTCGTCCTAGTTTGGGACTCTTCGGTTATACACACTCATGACCCTACTAAGGACTGAATCCAGGACATTTTCTGGAGTTCTAGTGAGAAATCATGACTAATGAAGTCTATCAGGCAAGATGTGACGACAAATACTCGTCGATGACATCGACTAGTTGTGGCGGTAAAAAGTTTCGAACTGACAGAATTTATCAGTCATAGGCCAGTGGTTGAACGGTTAATGACTTCGCCTTGTAACCTGAATGCCCTGAGTTTGATCCCCATTAGGGTGACGGGTTTATACTGTTGGAGAGTTTCAAACTAGGAAACAACAGCTGTTCTCAACTTTTGAATCCCACTCCACTTCAGCTCAAGTATCTGGGTAGCATCATCTCACCAAGATTACTCGCTGTGTATTTAGCATAACACTAGATTTTCTGCAGTCCGCTAGGATCATTCATGAAAGTATTCACCACATTACTTTAAGGTCATGGAAAACACCCATAAGGACAATAGAAAGAAGGGAACAGGAAGTTCAACAAAGATATCTTTTCGGCGATTTCATTTTCAAAAGCTATACAATCGAATATAAATACATAATTTTACACGGATACAATTCTTGTTTGATTCCACATAATTATGACGGTGAATAAAAGGTGACAATTATTTTCGACTAGATATGGTTTACGAGAGGCTTAGAGACAAAATTACACGGGATTATACCAAATTACAGGTATATAGAAAATGAGCATAGAAACAAAATTGAAATAATAGTTGTTAACTTGAAATGGAAGTTAGGAGGTGTGAATATAGATTACAGGAGCCTAAGAAACACAAAATTGCACAGGATTAAGATATAATTGTAAAATAGTTATTTTAAACGAATTATAAATGTGAGCAGGAAAAGCATAGCAACAACCTCTTCTTGTTGATTCCACGTCCAGAAATGGAATCGTTGAATCGTTTTCTAATTCCATTGTAAATTTAATCGAAGGATGGGAATTATTAAATTCTTGTAAGATGCAGTTGAAGTTCGAGTTATCGTAGCAGACTATAAAGGTATCGTCGACATGCATTTTGTATAGTAGTGATTTGTTTATTGTTGATTTTAAAACTCCACTCTGCAAACTGGCCATAAAGCAGTCTGCTAAAAGCGGGTCAAGAGGAGATCCCATTGGAATTCCGTCTTTCTGTCTGTAGATGTCGCCGTTGAAGGTGAATTGTACATTCAGCGTACGTCTCAGCAACAGTTCCTTCAGATATGATATTGGTACTCCTACGCTTATATTGGAGTTCTCCATATAATTGCATAGGAAGCAAATTGTTTCTGTTAGTGGCACGTTGGTAAGGACAGATTTGATATCTAGTGATAACATTCGTTTATCATTTACATTCAAATCTCTTATGCATTCAATGAACTCAAAAGTATCGCGAAGGGAGCATTTACATATGTGTTGTCTTACTGGCTCATATGTGCTTTTCCTGCTCACATTTATAATTCGTTTAAAATAACTATTTTACAATTATATCTTAATCCTGTGCAATTTTGTGTTTCTTAGGCTCCTGTAATCTATATTCACACCTCCTAACTTCCATTTCAAGTTAACAACTATTATTTCAATTTTGTTTCTATGCTCATTTTCTATATACCTGTAATTTGGTATAATCCCGTGTAATTTTGTCTCTAAGCCTCTCGTAAACCATATCTAGTCGAAAATAATTGTCACCTTTTATTCACCGTCATAATTATGTGGAATCAAACAAGAATTGTATCCGTGTAAAATTATGTATTTATATTCGATTGTATAGCTTTTGAAAATGAAATCGCCGAAAAGATATCTTTGTTGAACTTCCTGTTATCTTTTTTCTAACATTAAGATGTCTATTATTGTACGATACAAATTAAAGTCAACTCTTCATTCATGTATGCTCATATCGCATCTATCAAACCCTTATATTTGAGCTTGACAGTAAATTAGAGCTACACATCTTATGAAACAGACACCGATTTCTACAGTTTATATTCATCAAGTCTTACCCTAAAACACCCAATAAAGCCAAAACGCGATAAACAACTTTTATGCTAATAACTCAGTGGATAAATTAAATGCATTAAAGTTGTTCGAGACAAAGAAGTAAACTGATTGATTTATTCAATTAAAACTCTGTACATTAGTTCAGGTTTCCACACTCTAAAAAAGCACACATAAGCGCTAGTGAAAAGAAATGCACTCCAACTATAACAAATAAAAAGATGCACATGCGAGAGTATAATCAAACGAAGATTTGTCAGGATTTCCAGAATCTGGATGATAACAAATCAGTATATTTATACCGTTATGCAAAGTTCAACTGATAAAAATAATCGATTTGGAAGATCTGTCCGTCTGTTTTCGACATAGAACTTTGCACATATGTGCACCAGTTCAAGTCGCCACACTCCATCCTTGTAGCACACAAAGCAAGAGAAGAAAGTACAAGAAATGCATAATAGAAACAGTAGACAGGGATATGAGAAAAAAGAATAATAATACCGAAGAACAATATAGTTCCATTGGAAATCATAGGTCACAAGGAGTGGATACATCTGCGATAGCCATTGAGAACGATTTTGAGCCATGTCACCAATTGTTTCCAGCCATTGGCTTTTACCGTCCCGGGGACCCCAACCAGGAAGTCTACACCCTCCTACGTGGCTTAAACTAACTGTTGTAGATTTCATTGACTGGTGAAGCCATGTTTTGGTTTGACCGCCGCTAGATTTTTTCCAGCCTGACCCTGTATCCGCTAACATCGCTCGTCGAGGAAGGCGATAACTAGGCATACGTAACACATGTCCTAACCATCTCAGTCTTTGTAACTTCACAACTTCGTCGACTGATTTCCTGTTTACCTAGCACTCGATTGATGCCTAACCTCAATATTGCTCACCTTATTATGCCAATTCACACGGGAGATAGGACGCAGGCATCTATGATCAAAGACAGC